GAGGGTCAAGCCATTGATTAAAGGGTATTTCTTGTGTATAATGACGTTCTTTCCCAATTCTAAATACTAAATTCTTTCTACACTACTACATACTCAATTACGACCTTGCCATGCATATAGCTATGTCAACGAACCGAGCCGAGCAGGAAAAAAAAGATCGGGCTCGGCTCGAGCTTTTTTAGGCCGAGATTTTTTGGGCGAAGTTCGGTCAAAAAAAATAAGGCTCGGCCCGAGCCGAACCCGGATCGCGCTGTTTAAGTTTTTTTTTTAATGTCAAATCTACATTTTTATATTAAAAAATTTAAAATTTGTACAGTTTATACGTGCTATAAATTAAATAAAAAAGTTCGGGCTCCACTTGAGCTTTTTTGAGCCCGAGCGGAGCCAAGCAAAGCCCGACCAAAAAAATGAGGCTCGGCCTTAGCCGGGCCCGACTCGAGCTTTTTCCGAGCCTCCCGAGCTTTTTTGCCATCCCTACACGCATACATTCGTTACTAATTACAAAATTATCAATTTTGTTATCTTGAAATATTGTTCTCCCCTTGAACGATACATGGTATGAATCTAAGGATTTCAGGGTTTAAACAATAAAATCCTAAATAATTAGGTCAGAAACCTGCAATATGTTATCAAAGAAAAACGTTGCATTTAAAATTCATCAATTTTAATCTAAGGAAAAAAAGATATATCTTAGAAGCAAAATTCAAACTTAGTAAATTATATAAAATCAAGTCATTTTTCAAATGAGAATCTTCAATAAAATTACATACTATTAGTTTAAGACATGATATGGTTTGAAGAAACCAGATCAAACATTTGAGACGTGTGATAACAGGATCCAAAACTTTCAAAAGCCAAGGACCTACGAAAAATTTGCAACGAAACCCCAGCTTCAGCTAGTAACATTGTTAGTCTTCCATAGATCGTTGAAGAAGACGGTAGTAAAGACATTGTTTGTATGTAAAGAAGCTTTCAACAGTTTCAAAGCCTTAAAAAATAAAAGAAGAATTGGATTGAAAATAAATTAAAACACAATGCATTCACCATTGCTACAAGACTTAAACAAATGATCTTTGTACAATCCATTATCATGTTAAATCAAATTTTCTAAAACTCAAAATGTTAAGAGACACGAGACAAAGATCATTCTTAGATAATTGCTTAAAAAAGGGCTTATTAGCACAAAATATATATCCTCTCCCTCTCCCAACCCCATCCTACCCCTTACCCTCGCCACAAGGGGAAAGGTATTAAAAACATATCTCAATCACTTAAGTCGTCAAACTTTAAGTTTAGGTTGAATCGATACGACCTTTACAACTTGATTCAGTCACAAATAAACGTACATTGACACAACAATAATTGTGCTTGTTTTAGAGCACTACGTACTAATTCAACTTCCTTTTATGTTCCCTTTCAATTCTAGTTTTTTTGTGTTATCTTCTAATTTAATTTGTTTGGAAAGTACTGTATTCTTTTGTATATTTTGAATGTCCATTGAAGTTCTAGCAATTTGAACTCTTTAAATGCTGAGCTGCATCAATTGAATTGACTACTCAAAATGCATTTGTTCCACCCGACAATAAAATGGCAAGTGTGTAAATTAGATGTTTATAAACTTTATAAATTATTAATGTTGGGACAAATGCAAAATCAAGGATTTATTAATTTACTGATAAATTAATTTTATAGTGCATTTATGATTCATTTCACCTACATTCGACCAAAATATTAAGAATAATGTATTTAGTCTTATTGGAATTATAACCCCGTTTGTATGGCGTTAATGTATTAAGAAAAAATAGACACGATTAAGCATGGATAAGGAATTTAGTTACTATAGACATTTTCCTCTAATACTATATTTAACAACTATTAACTTAAACAAAAACTGAGACAAAAACACTAAAACGAAAAGATTTATACTAATTACACCTCCAAATAATTATGGAAATAATATCAAGCAATCACGATAATATCACAAATACAATATTGCGAGAATATAGAACTATTTGTCTTTCTAAGAGTTTGAAAAAGCATATTCGAATAAAATATTATTCTTAATCGAATAATCAGTTCACGTGATTTGTCTTAAATTGTGGCAATCTTTCTATATTATAAGTGCCTATGAAACGGTGTCAAACGGAACAGTAACAGAAATTGTTCTTCCAAGTGCATGCCTATGTCAAACGGAACAGTAAGTGCCTAACGGTGTCAAACGGAACAGTAACAGTGGCTAAGAATCAAAACAGTAGCAATTAAGGCAGCCAATTAC